AAAAAAAAAAAAAAAAGATGGGTACATGTAATCCTGCAGCAGCCAGGTCAGTCCTTGCTACCTGGTGGGGAAAGCCCTCCTGAGAATGAGTACAGCACAGAGGAAGGTAGAGCCAAGAGATACTCGTTTAGCACCTTGATCCATCCATACCTGAAGTCTACCAGGGATTTGCCAGTTACCCAAACTGATATCTTTTCATTCCTGCTTAACCTAGCTTGAACTGGGTTTTGTTTCCTTATAACTGAGAGTCTTAATTAAAAAGCGGTTGGAGAGGAAGTCTGGGCAGGGAAAGGGAAGAGTGCTGGCTGGGAGTGGAGGGGTCAGAACATGAGGTCCCTACCTGGCTGACTCCTGATATGGTGGGCTCAACACCCGCCATCCTTCTGGTGATCCTCAGACTGGGACTTGACTGGGCCCCTGGAACCTTGGTCCTACCCTCTGTGTGCATCTTGGTGTTTCTGGCATCCATCATGCCAAGCCAACAAGGCTACCAAGTTAGGGGCACCAGCTGCTGTGTTCCCACAGGATAAATCTGCTCACGGTCCCGCCGAGCCCATCACCTAACTGCCGCTTCAGCAGCCCATGTGGAGTCTGGAACATAAGAAGCCTGGCTTAGGAAAGAGGCAGGGCCAGGCCTGGCAAGGAGGGGTAAGTACATATTCCTCCTAATTCTCCCAGTGACCCCAAGGAAAAGGAGGCTCTGGAAGGCAAAGAGACTCGCTCAAGGTCCAACAGTTACTAGGTCACAGAGCAGGATGTGAACCATGGCCTGTCGGATCCCAAAACCCACACACTTTCCCCTGTGGTAGCATTTGCTAAAGACCTTGTTTGGAATCTTGGTCCCTTGAGATGCTCCACGAGGTTCAGAGGCTAAAGGCATTTGGAAAGCTCTGGGTTAAACAAAACGAAACAGGCTCTTTCCTATAGGACTTCTCAATGTCTTTAAAATACTAATGTTAATTTTTAAAAGAAGCCCAAGAATGTCACAGCTGCTCTTGCTGTAGCTGAAGCTCCATGTTCTTAGAGACAGCTAAGGAACGGGAATTGGGAATATCTGTCTGTCCGTCTTGGTACCCTAAAGTCTCAAGGCCAAGCTACAGTTCATCAAAGCACCCACACCTTTGCCTGGACACATCCCTTCCTGGACCTGCTTAGCATCTCGCCTGCCTTTCTCTCTAGCCTCACATTCAGCTGCACACCCACCCCCTGTACAAACTTTCTGTTCGAATCCAGGCAGGCTCCTGTAATACTAATGCCACAGACCCCCAGCCTCTGTGCCCACCTCCTACTTTTTATATCTCCAACAGTCCCCACCCCATCCTTCAAACTCCCCCCTCTTCTCCAAATATCCAACCACCTTCGTCACTGAATTTCTTTGAGGCATTGTCAATACCATTTCTATGGGTATGTCACAGAATCCTTTTTTTTTTTTTTT